TCCCTCTTCCTTCTGGTAGAACACACCTATGCTCTGCTCCATTTCTTCAGGGCCCTACCCTCAGCAGAGTTTCGTTTGATCAAATTACAGTAGGTTGTTGATGGCTAAAGGGCTTCCTTAGTGGCTCAGCAGTAAAAAATCTACCCACAATGCAGGAGATCCTGGTTCTATCCCTGGGTCAGGAAGACCTGCTGGAGGAGAGCATGGCAACCCACTCCAGTATTCTGGCCAGAAAAAACTCATGGACACTGGAGCCTGGCAGGCTATGGTCCATGGAGTCACAAAGAGTCGGACACAACTGAAGTGTCTGAGCACACACAATGGCTAAAAGTTGCTCTGGCCATACTGATGGCCTTTTCACGTTTATACTGTGGCTCTTTGCTATAATCCGCAGACCGGGATACCTAATGGTGGGAGTCCAGGCAGTGTGGCAGGCTGCAGAGAGATAGCTTCATAGGATGCTCCTCTTAGTGACTCTGAAGTTCCTTGGCTGGATGTTCAGTTTTTCTGCCTGTGTCCATGGCTGAGGGCCAACTACCTTGGCTCACAGTGAAATGCCAGGGCCTCTACCACTGTGAGGAGGTCATGTCCTTCTCATAGAACTAGAGAGAAAGGTACTGAAGCTTTTGGAAACAGGCATCCAATGAACCTCTGAGCCCTGGAGTGGCCTGGACTAGTCAGTGACTTTGCTCTTCTCCTTTATATAAGTGAGCTGAACCCCCAAGCCCTCTCCCAGTGCTCATGTCTCTGGAGGGATGTCTGTAACTCTGAGTGACCCCTGGGTCTTTGTGTTTTAGCATGAGAGTATCCCCAGAGGGAAGCTTCCTAGGTGTCTCAGTGATAAAGAACCCACCTGTCAACGCGGAGATGTTGGTTTGATCCCTGGGTCAGGAAGATCCCCTGGAGTAGGAAATGGCAACCCACTCCAGTATCCTTGCCTGGGAAACCCCATGGACAGAGGAACCTGGTGGGCTACAGTCCCTAGGGTGACTAAAGTCATACAACAACAGCATCCTGATAGGAGTGTAAGGCATATTTAAATGGATATTTTGTGCAGTTCACTCTCATTTCACAATCCACTCAGAGTTTTTTTGCTCCCTTCCACTGGTTTCAGCCTTGTTTTGTGACTTACTCCTGTTCATTGCACACAGGGCAGTGAGTGGGAAGTGTAAGGAGTTTAGCTCCTGCAGTTAGGACAGCTGGGTTCCAGTCCCAACGTGGCTACTATCCAAAGAGCCAAGTCCTTGAAAGAGGTACCTGGTACTTTTGATCTGTGTTCTTATTTGTAAGATGGGAATGAGACTGTTTGGCTTTGCTCACAGGTTGTGGTTTATGTGACACATTAAATGCAAATGCAATGAAGAGATAGGGGCTGTGTAAAAATACCAGGGATCGCTTGGCATTGGTTTGCAGGAGGCCAAGTTTCAGCTTTCTTTGGTTATCCTGCGTCTGGGTTCTTCCTACCCTAGCTGCCGCTGCCATGCTTCCCTGACCCCAAGGAAAATAAAGTCTTGTACCTGAGCTGTATCTGTAGGGGAGCCAGTGCTATGTCTGTCATCAGCCCTCTGAACTTATCTCCAGAAAAGGTTGTTGATGACTCACCGAGGCAGCAGGTGGCGAGACGGGTCTAAAATTATAGTGGAACCGACCATTCAGAAGAGACAGGCGCATATGGAATTGGTACCTCTGCCTCTGCCCTGATCATCATCAAGTCCTCAAGGAATCACCCAGAGACAAGGAAAAGTAGAAAAATATTAAGCTCTGTGGAAATACTGCTTTTGATGACATTGTCAACATAGTCTGACAGACGCAGCAGTAATCTTTAGCCGAAGAACTCTCTGGAGCCATAAAGATATCCTAGGGACTGCACAGTCTGTGGTTGCTGTGTTGATGGTCGCCTTTGTGACATTCACATGTGACGTTAACAGTGTTGCGGTAGAATGGCCAGCTAGTTAAATATTTCAATAAAGGATCTTTTGATATTTAGGAAAAAAATTTTTTTAAAGGAAAAATTACCAAGGGAAAGTGTTACATTTTGGTAATACACATTGGAAAACAGAGTTGGTTTTCTGCCACATCCAGGAAGCAGTGGGGTAAAACTCCATCTGACAATGGATTGTAAGATGGCAGCTTAGAGAGGGAAGGATATCAGCTTAGCCTCACACAGCCAGTCCCTGGACTGAGGTGCGGTCTGTGAGCAGAGCAGGAGGCCCTTCTCCCAGCATCCTGTCGGCTTACTCTCCCAACTTCCAGGTTAGAGATTTGAATCAGATACAAGGCAAATGCTTAGGCAAGGGAAAAGGGTTTTGCCAGCTTGCTCCACAGGGAAAGAGTCTGTGATATGACATGAAGCCGAAAATAGAGTGTCTCAGGAAAGAAGGTTTGGCCGCTGACTGCCTTGTGATGGGTGTGGGGGCCTCCTCCAGGAAGGCGGGAGCTGAAATGAGAATAGGACACGGTCGCTGCCCGTGGTGTACTGCTGAGCGCAGACGCTCTGGGCAGGCGTTTGGAATCCGTGTCATAAGAAAGGGGTCCCGCCGGAAAGGCTGCTTTAGCAGTGCTGTCCTGCTGGGGTCTGTGGAACATCCTGACACAGTCCAGGGCTTGAACAAGGGCCAAGGATTTATCCAGAAACAGCAAGCCCTGTACAAAGACGATCCCGGATTTAGAACAGATGAAAGGTGCTTTGAGGGAGTTCAAAGAACGGGCGCATGCTCCCTGATGGCTTCTTGCTGGATATTTTGAGAGGTGACTGGGGCACATTTTCCCGCCCAGCTTCTCCCAGGGGTCTTTTCTAACACAGTTTCTCTCCATTAGTATATTCCAGAGCTCACGGGTTCGGAAGTCTTAATATGGAAATTCCTGCAGCGGAGGGAACAGGCTTCTCCCAGTTGGGGTTTAGTGAGGCCATTATTCTGATGAAGTTAATGTTGATGATTAATTGGCACTAATGATGGAGATGTGGAAAGTAATGAGGCCACCTGATTGGGTGACGGGAAAGATGGAACTTGTGGGCACGTGATGAGGATGGTTATAGTGACAGTGGTGACAATAGCAGGGAGCTATAGGAATATTAGAAATTTGTTGAAAAATCTAGGGGACAAACCTTAACTTGAACTTTACTATCTTCTCTGGGAAGGTAGATAATTGGCAAAAAAGATGATGTGCCTCTGGGAAAGGGGAAAAGAAAATACCTTTTTCTGTGGTCAGTTCTATCTAACCAGATACTTGGTGTCAATTCTACTAGGTATATTACAACATGGCACCAGCTTTCTGGTGGACCCAGGGCGGTGCACATTAAGAAGCAAACTCAAGTTGATACTAGTGACTGCAAACAAACCTGTGACCTCCCAAATGGAGGGTTAAAACAAGAAGAAGCCAGTCATTTTCACTGTCATTCTCCAAACAGTATCTAGAGAGGAAGGATGTGATAAGTCAGTCGTCAAGCTCTTCTTCAAGATCTGAAGCAATCCCACTGCTTTCAAGGAGCATTTCATGTGAGGTTGTGCTTGCGGTAAGCCCTCTACTCCCGTTTCCACCCTGGAGTCCCAATGTCCTTGGTTTTCTGAGTCATTGGGTCCAACTAGTGATATGGCAGCATTAAGGCAAAGGAACTTTGAGGTCTGACTCCTGTTCATAGCACCAGGGGCATCTGAAACAGCAAGGGAGAGGTTAAGGTCTCCAAAGGCTAGTGAAGGAGGAGGGTGACATGAGTTTCAGGTAATCCCAACTTTGCTGATTCCCAAAAGCATTAAAAGAAAAAAAAAAAGATTAGCCAAATTTAACCAGTTACCTTCAAGTAAGAGAGATACCTTTACTTCATTCAATTTTGGTGATGTTGTGAAACATGAGAATCTTAATTTCAGAGCTCCTAGCCTTATTTTTCTTTCATTTTTTTCCCCCTTCTCTGTGCATGTCCTCACACCCCTGCCTCAGTTGTGCTCAATTATTCCTCCATTCCAGGGACAAAATCCCAGGAACACACTCTGTGATGTTGAGACAGAATAACAATAGTGCTGCTGCCAAATCTGTCACACTGTGAACATGTACTCCCTTCCCAGGGAACTTTCTCTCTGATGAAAAAGTCTGGAGAAGAAAGTGCTTACCCCTGGAGGGGATCAGAAATGGTAGATGAGCACAGAGAAGATCCTTTGCCCTAAAAACCACACCACGAAGGTGTTGCCATGTGCTAGGGTTGTGGCAGTGGCGGTTTAATGGGATTGAGGGCTCTGCCCTTTGGGACTATGGTTCTGTAGCTTGTCTCTGTATAAACTGGAGGAATGAAGATAGCAATATCCTGCTAACTATTGGTTAATAAAGAGGGCCCATCTTTTCCTAGAAAGTGACTTCTTCCTGAGAAAAGGAAGGTGAACTATCAGTTTCTTCATTGGTCCTCTTGTTTTATTAGCTCTTTTTTGTCTGGTGAGTGAAAAAAGAAATGCTGGACAGCTGGAAGTGTAACTGAAAGGAATTATGCAGAACAAGTTCAGACTATAAAAGGATAAAAAGGATTTGGTTTACTGGTTCTCTTAGGTCCAGAAGTTCTCAAGAAGACTCATCAGCATCCGTAAGATTGGAACCAAGGAATACAGTAACATTTAGAACTCCCATTCATTCACTGGTTCATTTATATAACAAATATACCTGGGTTAATTTTTATAGGGCCAAAGGATTTAGGACTGAAAGTGTTCCAGAGAGGAGAGCTGTGAGGCAGCAAAGGAGAAAAGGGAAAAAAGGAAAATGAGTTCCAGTTATCAAAAGTTGTGTGGCAGATTGTCCCCAAACTTAATAACCTAAAATATAGCAGTCATTTTATTGTTTTCACCTCTGAAAGTTCAAGGATTGACTAGGCTCAGCCAGGCAATTTTTGTTCAGGGTCTCTCAGGTATTTGCAGGCAGATAGTTGTGGGGGAGGGGCTGCAGTCATCATAAAGGCTTTCTCACTTGCATACTGGTAGTTGTTGCTGGCTGCTGTCTGGAACTTCAGCTGAGGCTCTTAGCCAGCTGATCACCTACTCTTGGGCTCTCCTTGTGGCTTGGGCTTCCTCACAGGATGGCAGCTGGTTTCCAAAAAAACAGAGCATCTCAAGAGAACTTGATGGAAGTACTATCCTCTTGTATGTCTTGGCTTCAGGAGTCACAAGACTGACTCAGATTCCAGGTCAGGGAACACGACCTGCCTCTTCATTGGAGGAATGTCAGTGCCAATTGAAAGAAGAACGTATGGAGAACTTGTTGCAGCCATTTTGAAAAAGGTAGGTAGATTCAGGTGTGAGTGGTCTTGAATAAAATCTTGCTGAAGAACTAATACTAGTTAATGAAGACTAATCTGGAATAATCAGTCAGCCATACTAGGAAACATATGATCAGATGGGTGATTTTGTAACATGGATAGTTATGACTGAAAGATAGAGTCAGAGCAGACTTCATGGAAAAGTAGGACTTTGAGGTGACTTTGAAGCCTGTGAAGGGTCCACTTGAAAGAAAGAAAGTGAAAGTGTTAGTCACACAGTCATGTCCAACTCAGACCCCATGGACTACAGGAGCCCTCCAGGCTCCTCTGTCCTTGGGATTCTCCAGGGAAGAATACTGAGGAAGGTAGCCATTCCCTTCTTTGGGGGATCTTCCTGAACCAGTGATTGAGTCGGGGTCTCCTGCATTGCAGGTAGATTCTTTATTGTCTGAACCACCAGGGAAACCCAGGGTCCATTTGGTTATATTTAATTTATGTTCATTTTTCACCAACATGGAAAAGAAATGATAATAAACAAAATTATAATTATTGGTAATTCTTCCCATTACCAATGAGATAACTAGTTAGCATTTCCAGGTGCATCTTCCTCATTTTCCCTCCTCCAGAAATGTATTAATATTACAAATTTGCAATCCCACTTAACTTTTCTTACTTATTTTGTGAATGTTTTCCTAAACTATTAAACCTTTTTCAAAAAAATAATGCTGAATCTCTGCAGAGCATTCTGTCATGTGAATATGCTATGATTTACTTTTAAATCACTTGCTGTTGGGAATTTAAACTGTTGCATTTTTTTTTTTTCTATTGTAAAAAAACCCTGATGAGGATCTTTATGTGGAAATCTGGGTGCTTATCTATGATTATTCTCTTAGGATTAATTCCTAAAGGTAGAATTATTGGTTAGAAGTTATCCATATTTTAGAAACCTTTTACATAACTTGTCATGGTGACTTTAGGACAGGTTATGCTGGTTGCCCATCCCACCAGGCTGAGTCCCTATTTAATTGCAGGTTACCAGTATTGATTGTTACTGGCTGCAAATGACAGTTTTCTATTTAAGAGACCAAAGTGGAACTTTGGGCTTTACTCTGATTTTATCTTATTATTAGAAGGGAAGTATTTTCCCATATATGTTTTTATCATCTGAGTGTTTTTAAAAAAGTGACTTGCTGGTTTAAATTCTTTGCCTATTTTTTCCATTGGCATTTTTCCTCCTATTGATTAGTAGCAGTGCTTTATAAATTATTACTCTTTTGTTTAGCATGTATGGTGCTTTTTTTCTCATTTGATCTTTTTGTTTTCCAGGTTTTTCTGTGATGGAGTTTTCAGATGGAGGGTTTTTTTTTTTTTTTAAGTTTCTCTGTGGTCACATCTAGTAATCTTATTATTTATATATTTTTCTTTTGTTCTTATCTATGAAAGGCCTTATTAATAATAACAGATTAACTTTACCTTTTTCTCCTTTTGTGTTCACACACATACCCATATCCACACACATACCCATATCCACACACATACATAAAACACTGAGTTGTCAACTCAATCTGGACTATATCTTGTGATACATTCTGAGGAGGGGTCTCCTAAAGTTTGTTTCCCAAATATTTACCCAGATGTAGGATGACAGGATTTAGATCAGTAGAGGGAGAGGCCCTCACCCTTAAAGGGAGAAATTGTGTGATTCTGGCTGAAGTAGAGGGGGGGGCTGTGGGGAAGACTTCATTCACCTTCTAGAGGGTCTGGGATGCCAAGCAAAGGGGTGGAGGTTCCTTATAGCATTAAGAACCATGCAGGTTGGGGAATAAGGAAATTGTTGTTTTCTGTTCCTGAACATCTCTTCAGGACTTGTGAGGAGTCAGGTACTCTGGTAAGTATATGTAATATTTCATTTAATTCTCACCACTGCCTAAGAGGCAGGTACTATTATTATCATTTTATAGATGAGATGATTGAGGCTTAGTAAATGGCAGGGCTGGGACAGAGTCCAACTCCGGCTATTTTCAAAGCTCTGGCGTTCAACCGCTGTGCTTATTCATTTCTCAATATAATTAACCTAGGAGTTTCAGAAAGTTCATCCGGAAACATTGTACAGGTTAAGAGGGAGTGGGGAGCAATTAAGGTCAGGAACTTCGGCGATTCTGGAGGATGCAGTGACGAGGTCTTATAGAGAGGCAGGGCTGGGGATGGCCGATGACAACACAGTGGGAGGAGAAGCTGGGAGCAAGCGGTGCAGGGCCTGGGAGGGGAGCTTGCTGAATTTAGTATCTTTCACTTTTGGCTCTTATTCTAAATATTTGATGGGAGTCTTGCTCCGGGTCTTCATCAACTAACTTTAGCAGTTACCACTCTCCTGAGACTTAAACAGAAATATCCAAGGACCAGACAGTCTTGTATAGAAATTGAGAAAAGGACCCAAAATGCTTTTCCCATCAATCTAGATCCTCCGGGGAAGCCAGAGTGATTAAGGGAAGATTTTTTTCCCCCAGTGGATGAAGCTGTACCTTCATTCCTTCAATGAACGTTAATGAAGCATAGAGTCTGCTGTGAGGGACCTAAAGACACACTGAAACCGAGCCTGCCCGCATGGAGATGAGGCTGAGCAGAAGTAGTAACTTGCCCTTGTACATAAACATCACACAAAATGGGAATTCCAAGTCCCCCCAAAGAGACATAGTTAATAGGTTATAGGAGGTCTAAAAAGAGAGAACTATTCTTATTGGGAGGGCCAGGAGCATACAGAATCATGAACTGATAACTAGTTTCTGAGTTGGGTTGTGCTAGGCTTGCTAGAAGAAACAGATAAGAATCTTGTGTAATGTTCAAATTTTAAATACATTTGTGTAGGATATGATGAATATAAATTAATATAAATATAATTCTATTACAGTTAAATTATCAATGACATCATCCAAAATGCTCCTATTCTTACTTTTTCTGTAGTTGATAAAATATCCTCAGAAAAATGTTGATATGTCTCACTATGATTATGTATGTTCTCTTTTCCCTTATGTTTCTTCTGATTTTTGTTTTATGTATCTTTGTTTCTTTGTTGTTAGATGTTTAATGGTTTATGATGTTGATCTTCTTTGTGAACTGTGCCCTTTATCATTAAAATATTCATCTTTGTTTCATTTAAAAATCAATCAATTAATTAAAAAAATTAAAAAAAGACTGTTGTGTAATTTTCATTCTTCGTTTGCAAACCCTGTGACCTGCCCTCCTACAGGCATGGGTGACTCCCTTGGCATTTGTCCCTCCTGCTCTTCAATCATGGTTTTGTCATGCCTTAATTACAATAATAGAACAGCTCAGTTGTTTAAGATGTTCTAAGAAAGAGGACAAAAGCAAACATATAAGAAATAAACTGCAGCTCAGTGCACAGATCATGCATCTTTATCAAAAGAATTACAGAACGGATGCTGCTTTTCTTCACCCAGGCACAAATTGAAGTCCTAACTCTATTTCAAAGTCTTCCCGAATAACTCAAACTGCATAGATCACCCACAGCCCTTATATTTATAGCCCCAATTTGGTCTTGTGGTTCTTGGTAACAGAGCAATCATAAATAGGCGTAGGTCTGCAAGAACTCGCTTCAGGAGGCTCCTTGGCCTCACCAGACAGGTCTATGAGGAGAGAGAGAATGAACCTCGCTGCTAAGGTGGCCTGAGTTTGAGTCCCGGTCCTGTAAGTTCCTCTCAGTTTCAAGCTGTTACTAAACATCTCTAAGCACCAGTTCATTCATCTGTGAAAAGGGAATAAATATCAGCACTCACTTCACTGGATTGTTATGAGAGTTGTGTGAGGTTGTAGAATAAACATTGATACATAGGCAGGATTAATGCAGAATGAGTACAGACAAGTCCTAGTTGGATGCTATTCCATATATTTGATTGAATTTTTATAAGTGGACCATTTTTGGCCTGGCAGTTCCCATTCCCTGGTTGTGTCATCAGAATGCTTGGAATGGGTCTTTCTCCTCTTGTGACAGGGTGAGTACATCCTGAAGAATATATTCTTTGTGTTATCATTTGAAATCTCCTCTGAAGTGTTGGCAAGTGTCCTAGGTTTGGAACTGTAAGTCTGAGACTGCAAACTGGCCAACGTTCCCTTTTCCCCTGTATATTACTCACCAGAGCAGGCGGCTCACTCTGCTGGATCTGCCAGTTTTACTTCTCTGTACTCTTTTCTAGACAGTGAGTCCAGGGGGGAGAGGATGGGTCCTTGATGTGTATCTCAGCTACATGATGTGTATTGCATGGACACACAGCATAGAACCTGGCACATGGTGGACATTCACTATTTGTTGACTGGATGGCATGTTGCTGCATGGGTGTCCAAGGGTTAGTGATAAACACCTGTTGGGCCCTTTATTTATTTATTTTTAACACCTGAACTTTACCACAAGCTTGTAAACTAGATACTTTCATTTCCAATTTATTAACAGAGAAACACCCAAGGTCAAAGAGTGATGTGCCTCCCTTCTCCATTCACTGTCTCGGTCATCCTGAAATACTCTGATTCTCAAGATCATTTTACCACTTATCAGCCACATGCATCTGGCGAGTCACAAATCTTCTACAGAATCACATTTTCTTATGATCAGAGCTGCCTTGCTGTCTTGGGAACATTTGAATGTTTTCTGGATATTCACAATCCTGAAAAATAAGTGACTCATCATGATATTGTTTTGATGATGCCTGACAATGGCGTCTCTATTTTTAACATTGAGTGGCGGTAACTAATAATATTAGGCTCTTTTGTCCTTTATCAAGAGGAGAGAAAAGTGAAAGGTCGTGAGTTTAAGGAGTATCTGTAAGGAGGGAGGGCTGGCCTCACCCACACTCAGGAGAGAAACTGTCCTGCTCTCTCAAGCACCTGTTCCTGGCTTGGGGCTCCAGGCCACGTCAGGGTCTGCTTTCTGGGAATCTTCACAGCAGTGTCTCCAGCACTGTCTCCTTTGTGATTGCTGTCAGTTTCACCTTGGGCACATCTCTAACTACACTCCTTGTGTATCTTCTCCCTTTTTGGTACATTTCTATTTACATAGCTCAGGTTCTTTCTCAGCATTTCCAGCAACTTTCAAATTATTGGCATAGTGTGAGAATCAACTTTTATTTTTTGAAAGTATGGGTGATTGAACAAATGAATGAATAAGTAAATACATTTGGAGAAGAATTCGGAAGGTGTCCAAGCAGTGTGTGATGTAGAACAGAGAAGGCAGGAAGGGAGTTGGTGGTGTTTCCTGGTGGTTCACAGGCAGGCTCTGGGGTCCGAGGGCCCGAGATGGCCTCTGGTTTCACTGCCCACCAGCCCTGAGACCTTGGGTGGGTTACTTACCTTTGTGAAGCCAGCATGAAACATGGCTGTAGCTTTATAACTTAACTATTGATGTGTCACAAACCACCCTGAGACTCGGCAGCTTGAAATGATGACCACCTTTACTGCTCGTGTGGCTGTGGGTCAAGCAAGGCTGGCTAATCTAGACTGGATTTCTCTGGGTGTCTTCGTGTTTCCTCTACCAGTGGGCCAGCCTGGGGATGATCTTCTGGGATGACAGAATTGTAAAAAAAAACAAAAGGAAACATAAAAGGTCTTCTAGGGCCTAGATTTGGAACTTGAGGCTGCCACTTTCACATATCATTGTGTGAAAAATTATAAATATATATATATATAGTATATATATGTATACATAGGATTTCACTATATGCATAATTTTCACTCACGTATCACAAGTTACATGGCCACACTTAAAGTTAAGGGGAGGGGGAATATGCCAGGCTCATCATAAGGGCACCCCAATGGTATGAATGTTGCAGGGGGCGTAGGGGGTGAAATACTGAATCCAGTAATGCATTTTATAATACTACCTTTCTGAACCATGGGAAAAACAGAAAGAGATGATCTTTATTATGGTCTCTCCCTGGTATTTTGTGAGCACTTCCCATGTGATTAGTTAGGTTACACAACTTGTAAGCAATGCATAATCCGCAGCTATTGTAGCTGTTGTAACTGTTATTGTCAGAAATGCAGACATGTTATCCCAAAGATCAAGACTCATAGAGAACTAAGCTGGAAGGAGCTGATGAAGCAGGCTGTGTTTGGGCAGAAAAAGGAAAATTTTACTCATTCAGCAAATATTTATTGAACACCTGTGTGCCACATACTGCACTTGGGATACATTTGAGAACAAAGCAGGCAATGTTTCTTGGAGTTTTCTGGATATTCACAATCCTGAAAAATAAGTGACTCATCATGATATTGTTTTGATGATGCCTGACAATGGCGTCTCTATTTTTAACATTGAGTGGCGGTAACTAATAATATTAGGCTCTTTTATCCTTTATCGAGAGGAGAGAAAAGTGAAAGGTCGTGAGTTTAAGGAGTATCTGTAAGGAGGGAGGGCTGGCCTCACCCACACTCAGGAGAGAAACTGTCCTGCTCTCTCAATCAC